TCCATTCGTGTGTATTGAAGTTTGATCTCTACGTAATACATTGATTTCCTGCACCATCAATGGCCCAGGACCTGCAGGTGGAGAACTGCTCCATGGCGGTTGTCTTATGGCAGAAACATTAGGCTCCACGTCCTGTGGGCTCTGCTTTTGTTGTCCACAGACAGGACTTGGGCCCTCAAACATTTACCTTCCTGCTAGAGTTTTTGACATGGATTGTGGAATAATTTTGAAAGAGAAAAATGCACTTCTCTTCATGTTCATGTTGAAGAACCTTTCACTGGGCATGAGGCAGCACAGAGAGTTTTCTGAGGCAGAAGGTTAAATACTTGGGCTAAGGGTTCTTGTCCCCCCTCCCATCTCTGTATCAGTCCACACCACACACCATGGCAGCCCCTGTACAGCTGCACGTTGGTTCCCTAGGCCTGTCTGGTGCACAAAGTGCCACCAACGGGGCGGCTTCAGCCCCAGAACGCTGTCTTCTCAGCTTCAGCTCCGGATCCCCACAGGGCGGTCCAGGATCTGCCCTAGTGTTGGGGGTTCCTGGCAGTCTTGGCTTCTCCTGGTTTGTCTCTGCCTTCATTCTCACGTGGTTCTCCCGTGTCCCATGAAGAAGCTGGGTCAGCCCTGTGTTCTTGCTAAATATAGCCGATGACGGGACTCCCACTAGGTGGTCAGTGAGAAGGTCCTCTCTGGATTTAACTCAGCTGTGATACCATCGCCCCTGGAAAGCCTCATCTCTGAGCTGTTTTACCTCATATTTTAACTACACACGAGTGAAGGAGAGATGACTGACATTGAGGCGGGTGGTAGGTGTGGGAGAATGGGCTTGAGGCTCTGAAGGCCTCAGCTCTCCAACCACCACCCTGGGGTGTCCTGTTAGATCAGTGATTCCCAAAGTGGGCGCTACCGCCCCCTGGTGGGCGCTGCAGCGATGGGGGGGGGGGTGACGGCCACAGGTGCATTTGTTTTAACTTTTTTTGTATTACCTTTCTATTCTGAGTTCAATAAATAGTTTCATAATTTCAAACTTCAATGTTTCTAACTTACACCTTTCTTTACTATATTTTACGAAGAAGGTAGAAACATTAATACATATATCTTTCTGTTTAATTGCTATTAAAATTAAAAAAAATTAATTTCCAGGGGGGCACTGAGTAATATTTTTTCTGGAAAGGGGGCGGTAGGCCAAATAAGTTTGGGAACCACTGTGTTAGATTGTGTTATTAGATTAAACAATAGAGATTTTCTCAGTTAACAAAAAGTCCCGAGTTTAGGAGGCAGCAGCGCTCTGCAGCCCTCCTCCTAGTGGTCTTTCCGGTTCTAGAGACGCAGGGAAACTAAAACTTATTGGCAACATGTCCCAATCCTATGAAATTCAAATGGCAGCCCATACATGAGGGTTTATTAGAAGAGCCAACCCTTCCATCTAAGATTGTGCTACAGGAGGGGCTACTTATGAGGGTAACAGGTGTGTGTATTACACAGGACTCTATTACAATCATGCCTCAGAACAGCAACCAGGCCTCAACACAAACACCGAACGTCTCAGGAGATTTTATCAACATTTATTTTCTCCTTCGTGAGTCTATGGGGGGACAGGGCAGCTGGTCCGGGTGGGCTCTCCTGGGCCTGGGGTTGGACTCAAGACTGCAGGTTGGGCCGAAACCGGTTTGGCTCAGTGGATAGAGCGTCGGCCTGCGGACTCAAGGGTCCCGGGTTCGATTCCGGTCAAGGGCATGTACCTGGGTTGCGGGCACATCCCCAGTGGGAGATGTGCAGGAGGCAGCTGATCGATGTTTCTAACTCTCTATCTCTCTCCCTTCCTCTCTGTAAAAAATCAATAAAAAATATT